TTTCTTCATATATTTTTTATCTTATGTGCTGAAATTGTATCGATTCTATTAAGAAATAATTCAGATATCAGCGGTATTGTTGTAAATAACAAAGACATTCTTTTATCTCAGTTTGCTGATGATACGTCTGTTATCCTTGACGGTTCAGAAAAATCTTTAAATGTAACGCTACAACAACTTAACTATTATGCCAGAATTTCAGCTCTTAAAATGAATTTCACCAAGACCCAGGTAATCTGGATAGGCAGTGAAAAATATAGTAATAATAAATATACAACAGAGCACAATCTTTTGTGGGGAAGTACACGTTTTAATTTGCTAGGCATTGAATATGATGTTGATTTACATAGAGTAGTTAAATTAAACTTTGATAAGAAACTTGTTAAACTTAAATCTCTCATAAGTTCGTGGAATAGAAGAAATCTCACTCCAATAGGTAAGATAACCATTATNTAACGTGATGTTATAATTAAATCATACGAACATGGTGGTTTGTAAATGATTCATTTAAAGTCTTTCATAACAGCACTAAAGGCAACGTGAGTACGGAGGATCTATAAAGAAGATGCTAGTTGGACTTTCATTCCTGGAAACTACATGGATAAGTCTTCTTTAGCTAATTGTGGAATTCATAAATTGAAAATTATATGTGAAGAATGTAAAAATAAATTTTGGAAAAACGTTCTAGAAGCATTGTATTAAACAATAGTGTCGTCCAGTATATATAGTGAAAAAATATGTGAAAATCCTTTGTGGTATAATCACAATATCCAAATAAACAATAAACCTGTTTTCTGTAAAGAGTGGTATAGAAAAGGAGTGCTTTTGATATATGATGTAATTAAAGAAGATGGTTCTTTTTATAATTTTGTAGAATTTCAACATAGATATGATATAATGTCCAATTTTTTAACTTTTCATAGTATAATTAGTGCTATAAAACAGTTTATAAATAGTAAACAAGAAATCTTTGCTTTAGAAAAGATTATTTGTTTACCTAATATACCTTTAAATCTTAATATCATATTAAGGAAGACTAAAGGGGCACAGGATATGTATGCTGTTTTATGCCAAAATGATAAAAAAAAAACACGTCACAAAGGAAATGGTCTACGGTTTTTAACATTCAGGACAAATTATGGAAAAAAAATAATGCATGTCCTTTTAAAACTACTGATAGTACTAAATTAAGATGGCTTCAATACCGAATTAACCATAGAATCTTAACTACAAACACATTCCTACATAAAATGGGTATAAAAGAAAATTCAACTTGTACTTTTTGTAAAAGATTTCCAGAAACAATTGAACATCAAATTTGGGATTGTGGTAAAGTATGTGAAATTTTGAGAGAACTGAAACAATTGCTTGCAACCAGTAACATTGATTTGAATTTTGACAAACAGGAATTTATATTTAGACAATTCAGTTCTAAGGATGCTGATTTGATAGTGGATAATCTTATCCTATTATTGATTAAACAATACATTTTTAAAATGAAAAGTCTAGAAATGGAACTTAATATAACGAGTTTAAAGAATCACATAATTTTTGAACTTAAATCTCATAAGATCTTGATAAATAAGCAAAAAGCAAAAATAATATAGCCTTGCATAATAAAGTGGAAAAATGGCTTCTCTTATCAAATAACATGAACAATTATCATTACACTATAAAGAAAGGTTTGCAATCCCCCCCCCCCCCCTGTGTGTGTGTGTATGTGTATGTGTGTACAGTATATAATTGGTTTCTTGTAAAGAGGTGTCCGTTGTGAAGGGAATTGTATTCAATGTAATGTATGCTTGTTGCTTTGTGTGTAAATGTGTTGTTTATAAAAAAGAAAAATTGAATATTTTTTAAAAAAAAACACACCAAAAAAACAAGCTACCGGTACCAGCAACATAATAAGATTCTTTACCTTTCAGTTCTTCAGAAGAAGTCGTTAAGTATTTGACACTTTTGACCTCTGTGACCTTGAATGTATGTCAAGGTCATTGTTGTTCTGAACTTTGTTGGGCTCTTACCAACGAAGCTATCACCCAAATATCATGACTTTAGGCCTATCCATTCTTCAGAAGAAGTCAATCGAAGGAAAAGTTGACGGACGACAGGCACCGTATCATGGCATAAGCTCACTATCCCTTTGGGCAGGTGAGCTAAAAACCCAAGTATTTTAGATTTGCATGTAATTTCAATGCAAGAGTAACGCTTTTATGTGTCTAATAATTTGTCATTTAGTCTTCCGGCAGTCGGACACATAGTTGCCAAGATTACCAGAGCCTTGTCAAGAACAAAGCACAAGAATATAATGTACTGTATTGTAGTGGGAGACAAGTTATAGATTCTTAATAGGGAGAAACATGTATGTACACTGGAGTCAGCTTTCCAAGTCATTCGCTAGGTCTGTACTGGAACATAAGGTAATACTACTGACCACAAAAAACCATGCAAGTTAGTGAGTGTGTTAAGTTAAACATTATTACTGAACCACTTGTGTTTTATTCTTTAGTTAAATATAATTACTGAATCACTTGTGTTTTATTCTGTAGTTAAATATAATTACTGAACCGCTTGTGATTTATTCTTTAGTTAAATATAATTACTGAACCGCTTGTGATTTATTCTGTAGTTAAATGTAATTACTAAACCACTTGTGTTTCATTCTTTAATTAAATGTAATTACTGAACCACTTGTGTTTTATTCTGTAGCTAAATGTAATTACTGAACAACTTGTGTTTCATTCTTTAATTAAATGTAATTACTGAACCACTTGTGTTTTATTCGTTAGTTAAATGTAATTACTGAACCACTTGTGTTTTATTCTGTAGTTAAATGTAATTACTGAACCACTTGTGTTTTCTTCTGTATTTAAATGTAATTGCTGAACCACTTGTGTTTTATTCTGTAGTTAAATGTAATTACTGAACCACTTGTGGTTTATTCTGTAGTTAAATGTAATTACTGAACCACTTGTGGTTTATTCTGTAGTTAAATGTAATTACTGAACCACTTGTGTTTTCTTCTGTAGTTAAATGTAATTACTCAACCACTTGTGTTTTATTCTGTAGTTAAATATAATTACTGAACCACACTGAACAACTTGTGTTTTATTCTGTAATTAAATATAATTACTGAACCACTTGTGTTTTCTTCTGTAGTTAAATGTAATTACTCAACCACTTGTGTTTTATTCTGTAGTTAAATATAATTACTGAACCACTTGGGGTTTATCCTGTAGTTAAATATAATTACTGTACCGCTTGTGTTTTATTCTGTAGTTAAATGTAATTACTGAACCACTTGTGGTTTATTCTGTAGTTAAATGTAATTCCTGAACCACTTGTGTTTTCTTCTGTAGTTAAATATAATTCCTGAACCACTTGTGTTTTCTTCTGTAGTTAAATATAATTACTGTACCGCTTGTGTTTTATTCTGTAGTTAAATGTAATTCCTGAACCACTTGTGTTTTCTTCTGTAGTTAAATGTAATTACTAAACCACTTGTGTTTCATTCTTTAATTAAATGTAATTACTGAACCACTTGTGTTTCATTCATTAGTTAAATGTAATTACTGAACAACTTGTGTTTCATTCTTTAATTAAATGTAATTACTGAACCACTTGTGGTTTAATCTGCAGTTAAATGTAATTACTGAACCCCTTGTGTTTTATTCTGTAGCTAAATGTAATTACTGAACCCCTTGTGTTTTATTCTGTAGCTAAATGTAATTACTGAACCCCTTGTGTTTTATTCTGTAGCTAAATGTAATTACTGAACCACTTGTGTTTCATTCATTAGTTAAATGTAATTACTGAACCGCTTGTGGTTTATTCTGTAGTTAAATGTAATTCCTGAACCACTTGTGTTTCATTCATTAGTTAAATGTAATTACTGAACCGCTTGTGGTTTATTCTGTAGTTAAATGTAATTACTGAACCACTTGTGTTTTATTATGTAGTTAAATGTAATTACTGAACCACTTGTGTTTTAATCTGTAGTTAAATGTAATTACTGAACCACTTGTGTTTTATTCTGTAGCTAAATGTAATTACTGAACCACTTGTGTTTTATTCTGTAGTTAAATGTAATTACTGAACCACTTGTGTTTTATTCTGTAGTTAATTTAATAGAATTTTTTAAACAATGAAAAATACAAGAAGATTGTTTAAGTATCTCGCATGAGAATTTTGAAGATAAAATCTGTAAGGTTTGTGAGGTAAGCTCCTGGAATGCACACAAGTAGTATATATACACCAGAAATCTACCTTTTTTGGGCATTGTTTTAGGTAAGTAACTAGAAAATGTCTGCAAGACATGAATGCCCCAGCTGCCGGGTGAAATTAGTTTCAGTGTTTGGTGTTCTATAAAAACCTTGACCTTGTAATCCTGAAACATGAACTCTGTATATAAACTTTCATCAAAATCCGTTAATGAATCAGTTGATGATTTTCTATGAATATAAAAACTGTGACCTTGGCCTTGAGCTTGGAACCCTGAAACAGCAAAACGATGTCCGAGGTATTCTGTGTAGAAACTTAAATCAAAATCTGTTAAGAAATGAAGTAGCTAGGGTGATGACACTGAATCGGTGGATGATTTTCTATATATAGCAACCATGACATTGGCCTTGACCTTGGAACCCTGAAACACAACAATGTCGGAGGTATACTCATACTTGACCTTTGTATAAAGTTTGACAAAAATCTGTGAAAGAATAAAGTTGCTAAGTGTTTACACTGAATCGGGACACAACAGAACAGGATGGACATGGGCAACACTATATGCCCCCCTTTTTATGGCAGGGGCATACAAATATTCAAGGTATCTCTTTGCAGTGTGATTGGCTCGTCCAGGAAGTTTGGAGATCAAATCTGAACAAGTACACACTCCAGAAACACAAATGTGCACCAAAATGTACATTTCTGGAAACTGTTTCCAATGACAAGTAAAAAATTCTTGAATTTCGGTGAATTGGGGTTTAAAACTCAAACACCACAACTAATAGCATACAAATTTATTTCTGCGAAACGTAGAATTGATGACATATCTTTTGTTACAACAATGCAATAAATCCTGACAGATATATATACCATACATATAGTCATAGGTCAATAAATTCAGACAGATATATATACCCATACATGAAGTCATAGGTCAATAAATCCTGACAGATATATATACCATACATGTAGTCATAGGTCAATAAAAACCAATTACAAAAATAAGCATACTTTGTCTTTTGAAAGCAGTTTACAATGCATGTGCATACTCATGACTAATTAATGCTTTCATTGCCATATTTAGCCCAACAGCTCTCATCTACCAGTTCATCATCAGGGGCAAGGCAGACTACATGTCAATAATGGAAAGGATACGGTAATCTCACTAATAAACAAGTTTCATGTTAAATTGTCCGCACAGAACTTTTTCCTTGAGAACTAATACAAATGCAATAGTTCAAACAGGAGATACACAGGTCTATTGTTAAATACATAATATTCTCACTTTCTGATTCTATCTTCCTTCTGACAAAATAACTTGATACTTAGTTTATATCATAAACAGTAAGAACAAATTTGACACTTTCTCAACAGATTAATGAAAATGTTCTAAAGAAAACCATGGTTACGACAGTTTGCCGACATAATTCTATCAATGATAATCATGATGATTATTGAAAAGCGTTTAAAACCTATACTGGCATATACACTGGTGATCATGTAGTCGTGATGCATAACCATCCACGCAAACATATTACATATAACTGATTATACCATCATGGGCACATACCCATCTCAAACAAAGCAATCTGTCGATTTGTTTCAACTTTTAAATAAAATGTTTCATATCAAGGGTATTTGAACATAGGTTCTGATTGTCTAACAGAAACTTTATGGCGTAGTATGGGGTCAAACGACACCCAGTTATATCGGGTGGCTAAATGTGTAACATGTGTTTGTAACAGATGCAAGTAAGACTTTTTCATTTAAAAAATTATTGTCATGGTCCAGTGTTGATGAAAACAAGCATTTGGTATGGAACAAGAGACCCAATGGTCTTGGTTCACTCACCTGGCTTTTTTGGATTTGGGAGGGTAGCCCTAAGTATGTTAGTCACCTTATTTGTACATAAATATATTTGGAACCTGCCAAGTAGTTTATGAAAAATTGTTTGAAGCAAATCACCAAACTTGGTCCCCTTTTACCCTTTTCATAGGTGCCCCTCCCTCCACATTCCCCAAAGAATGTTATCATTTTTATTTGTGCAATATTTTTATACCCAGGATTTACTGCCAAACTTGCAAACTGCCAAGTCTTTTTAAAACAGAAACAGATGTTGTTCTGCTAAGACAGACACACTTTTGAACTGGTCCCGTACACCCCATTATTGTGTAGGTTAAGCATCCTAGTGGGCTTCGAATGTAGATTAAGCATCCCAGTGGGCTTAGAATGTAGGTTAAGCATCCCAGTGGGCTTAGAATGTAGGTTAAGCATCCCAGTGGGCTTAGAATGTAGGTTAAGCATCCAAGTGGGCTTCGAATGTAGGTTAAGCATCCCAGTGGGCTTAGAATGTAGGTTAAGCATTCCAGTGGGCTTAGAATGTAGGTTAAGCATTCCAGTGGGCTAAGAATGTAGGTTAAACATCCCAGTGGGCTTAGAATGTAGGTTAAGCATCCCAGTGGGCTTAGAATGTAGGTTAAGTATCCCAGTGGGCTTAGAATGTAGGTTAAGCATCCCAGTGGGCTTAGAATGTAGGTTAAGCATCCCAGTGGGCTTACAATGCTATCTTCACAATTTGATGGAAAGCTGTCATGTAATTTTTGTGAAGAGGGCGTTGAAATCAAATCAGAACAGCAAATTTAACTCTGTTCCTTGGGAGGGTCAGTCCCTCCATTTGTATAAAATTTGATCTTCATTGGCTTTATAAAAGTAAAAGAACTAATTTGACCCATCCTTCAGCCCAAAGGAAGGTCAACCCTATTGTTTTTAGATATTTTTTATCCCCATGGGGTAAGGATGCTGCCATCAAACTTTGGTTGAATTTTGCTTTTAGTTTAGGAGGAAAAAGTTATTTAAAGCAAAAGTTGACCGACGACAGACAAAGCACCACATCAGCACATAACAGTACTTTGTACAAGGTCAGCTAAACATATCTAATATTAATTGATTTTAATTCTTAACAAAAAAAGCAGAAGCAGCTAAGCTAACATGACAAAGTCAATAAATGGTGTATGTTTTTTGTATTTCGACCAGTGAAGACCAAATTTACATCCCTTCAATTGTTTTTGTACCAGCATTTCTGAAAGACAGGACGATTTTTGGAACAGCCCAAATATCTGTGTACGTAGTTCTTGGGGAACAGAGAAGCCCCTACCGCTAAAATGTTTTTCAAGGGGTGACATGCTCTCCTAGTGATCAATTGACTTTCCTTAGTGTAGGATATATTTTTCAGTGATACGTCACATCCCTGATCATACCTCTCATATTAAATGTAACATTTAGTTAAATCTGTCATACAATTCTTGAAGAGAAGTTATTTGATACCATAACAGACAAAATGTCCTGTTCAGAACCTCAACCTAAAAACAAAATATAAGAGAATGAAAATATTTAGTCATATGATGTTAACTAACTTTCCCATAGACATTTACCTGATAACAATATTATAATTTCTACAATAGATAATATTAATACCTCATTGAGGTTTACTACATAATAATACACGAATTCCCCACTACAATAGGTAATATTACTGAAGTATCTAAACTGAAACCACACCAATGTTACATTATATTACAGAAACATACAGTGCATTTACTTACATATGGTTTTTATGTGTCAGGTAGCCAGTGGAAAAAACATATATTATCTTACAAAAATATGGCAAACTGCCGGGGAAAAGAACCACCTCGGGAACAGATTAACAAAGTGTATGGAAAAATCCTTTATCAGTATATTACCATCGATTCATTATCATTGGACACTTGTATTCTGTAGGTAAACCTCTATGTAGGTATACATCTGTATACTAACACTATATTATTGGTACCCATATCTCACAGGAAGCCTAACCTATAATGTAGTGAAGTCTAACCTACAAATTACAATGTAGTTTGTAGTACAGCTACATCATACAGCTCGCGTTTCTTTGTGGGTTAGTGGTAACACTGATGATCAATGTTAATTCAAGAAAACAATGCTTTTTTTATGAATAAGACCTATTTTTGAAAAATTCTTAAATTTTTTAAAAACTTTACTATATGGTTTGGGTAATGACATTGCAGATTAGCATCACTGCTATTCTGTAATTCTAACTGGTATAATATTTGACACAGAGATTCATCCATTGCTAGGTACTGGTATTATAGGGTGTGGGATTATAACAAGTTTTGGTATTGAACAGAGACAGCTATAACAGCTGTATGAGGCATGATAAATACACCGATCTCTAAAAGCGCTGCATATTGATCTTCCAAATGTTCCTCTGTGAATGAAACCTGATTATCTATATAAAGCAAAAATTAAAATGTCAAAAATAAATTGATGAAAATTAATACAATATAATTACATATTTTGACCCTATTAAAAAAGTGTACTTATATAATACAACACAAACAAACGAGTGAATACACCCTGGTGTAAGCGTATTGATGAAGAGAGTTGTCAATGTCTAACAGCTGGTATAAGTGAGTGAATACACCCTGGTGTAAGCATTTTGATGAAGAGAGTTGTCAATGTCTAACAGGTGGTAGAAGTGAGTGAATACACCCTGGTGTAAGCGTATTGATGAATAGAGTTGTCAATGTCTAACAGCTGGTATAAGGGAGTGAATACACCCTGGTGTAAGCATTTTGATGAAGAGAGTTGTCAATGACTAACAGGTGGTAGAAGTGAGTGAATACTCCCTGGTGTAAGCGTATTGATGAATAGAGTTGTCAATGTCTAACAGCTGGTATAAGGGAGTGAATAGACCCTGGTGTAAGCATTTTGATGAAGAGAGTTGTCAATGTCTAACAGGTGGGAGAAGTGAGTGAATACACCCTGGTGTAAGCGTATTGATGAAGAGAGTTGTCAATGTCTAACAGCTGGTAGAAGAGGAAAGCAGTGCATGACGGCTGTAGAAGCTTCAGCATCTACGAACGAAGACTTCACGAATACAATGAACATTTATATACATATAAGGTTTAGGATATATAATCTTTATCAAACATAACAAATATATCTTACACCTTCTATATTCAACTTTTATAGAAACCATTAAATATAGAAAAAATATTATGACTTGATGTTTCAAACAGTATTTATAATGTGAACTGTTTATGTATAAATATTTCTCACAGCTCGACTATAGCTGAAGGTACGTGGACACTAGTGGTTCTAGTCCTAGACCTGGTAATCTAGTTCGGTTATAGTTATTGTGTGACGCCATAAACAACCCACATGCTAACAAAACTTTTGGGATCAAGTATATTTCAATCACTTCTCAAATGTTACTTTTGGTTTTTGGAGTGCAAGGCTTTTAAGACTCACTTGTATAGTCTGTGATATTTAATGTATGACTTTTATGTTTGTATTCTTAGCATGTTGTACATATGTATAAATGCAGGGCCATATTGTAAATAAAATAAGACATGTCTAAAATATGTCACCCTGGAAAAATAACAGGTTTCATTATAACAATTGTACTGGATGCACAAATGACATAAAAAAGGACTTTTGCATCTAAATTTCAGGAACAGCCTAATTTATCTACTCTTGTGTCTAATTTTCTGGAGTACTGACTAATTTAGAAACTGTCTATCTAAACTTGTTATGACATAAATAACTAATACATGTACCTCCAAATGAAATAAAACTCACTATTACCACTCTTGCAACATATACAAATTGTTAAACCTCCAATAAGTTTTGTATAAAGTAAGAGTGTATTGATACATCTTTTACAAAGGGTGGTCAGGATGGTATCACAGTTGAAAGTTTCACAAACAGCAAACATTTCATTAACTATTTTATAGAAATCATCACGATTAATATGTTTAAACCCTGTACCGTAAATCCTTGTTATAATGGTCCCCTTTAACTTGTATTACAAGGTCCCTTTTCTGTATCAATTTCTTCATCGGGCTTCATTTATATACTGCCAACTTCTTTATAGTCCAGTGTCAGTGGAAAATGGTAGCACAGTAACAAGTTTAACAGTAATTTTCTATTTAGGCAGAGTGATTTATAAATGTTTCTGCTTTGAATACCAAAATCAGATTTTGAACTCAAATCACATGGACATGTCCAGGTGCATATACACACTTTACAATCCTAAGTTCTTTCTTTAACCTATTACCTGTAATTCACTAGTGTGACAATGAAACCGTTTTTATAGCAACACACTGGAGCTGTGACATACAGGCCGATACATAATCACATAGCAACATACTGGAGCTGTGTTATACAGGCCAATACATTATCACATAGCAACACACTGGAGCTGTGACATACAGGCCCATACATTATCACATAGCAACATGCTGGAGTTGTGACATACAGGATGATACATTATCACATAGCAACACACTGGAGCCAACACACTGGAGCTGTGACATACAGATCAATATCACATAACAACACTCCGAGCGGTGACATACAGGCTGATATATTATCACAGACAGTGTTTACCTGTGTTATTGTTTACTCAGCTCACACAACTTAAGTACTACCAGATTGCTTACATTTCATCACAATATGCTCTTACAAATTACCTTAGAGTCAAGGATCAGAATCAACCAGATACCGTACCTTTGTACTTGATGAAGACATTTCAAGCAAAGTAAATATTTTCTTGTTTTCAAGAATGATTACACTTAAAACAAACATTTAAAATCACACTCCTTCGTTTTTACTTCTTGACATAATTGATGGGGAAAAGTCCTATTTTTCCTGTGCTCAAGTTTTTCCCTTTCCACCAAGAATCCACAATGTCTTTCTCGACCACCTCAATCTGATCACCCTTAGAAAACGGTAACTCATCATCGTCCACTGGTTTGAAGTCGTACATACAGGTCACCTGTAACAGAATACACACATTTTATACTGAATTCAAAACGGTTCTCACTGTGGAGAAATGGGACTTTTTCCTTTTGATTAGGCAACATTGGACTTCCCCAGGAATTCATAAAACATGATCAAAATCTTCGGTAATGTGTCATACTCAATGTTTAAAATACATTTGAAAATTGCCACCATGAAATGTGTTCATTGCAAAATGAGAGATGATCTATTGTAATTGAAGTTTGAAAATAAAAAAATAAAGTCTGATTCCTTTGGCCTTTACCCTTATCACCACCACAGATGTGCAATTCAATATTACCATCACATGAACTAAATGTGGCCAGGGATTCAAGAGATATCTAGTACAGAAGCATTTTACTATGGGCAGACCCTTTGTCCATGAATGATGACTTTTGACCCTTTAATCTTGACTGATGATCATCAAAATCAATTCAGATGTAGACCTCAATGTTATCATACTATGGTGTAAACAAGAGGCCCATGGGCCTTAACGGTCACCTGATATATTTATACAGAGAGTTGATTTTGTTTTTAACATGTACAGAAATATTATTCAAAGTGAAAAAACCCAATAAAACTACCTTATTCAATATCTAGCATACAGATTTCAGACTAAAACATATTTGAAACTAGTACCTCTGATTCTAAACAAGGAAAATGAAGAAATTTTAGCACACTGACTCCTTTGGGCCCCACCCTACAGCCATTGGGGGTAGGGCTGGCTCAAAATTTTCAAAGTATCAAACTGTCAACTCAAGGTTATAATTCCAATCAAGTTATTAACATGCAATATTCAAAGTATCATTTGCCATTATAAACCATAATAAATTTTGCCCCCCCCTCCTTCCTTCCCCAGGGGGAAACATGATACCCTAGGGTCAAGAAATTCACAATTTTGGTAAAGCACCTTGAGACCCTTCCATCTATGAAGAGTATTTGATTCTACCATATCTGGGTCTTGAAAAGAAGATTTTTGAAATTTCAGTCAATTTAACTCTTTTTGGCCCCACCCATCAACCCAGGGGGTCAGTCAGGGCTGATATGCGCATACTATCAAACTGCTACCTAATACTGATAATGCTAACCTAAATTGAATTACTTCCAATGGAAATTAAACAAATGTTGGTCCAAAATGTGATTTCCCTATATAAACTATAGTAAAGTTTACCCCCTCCCCAGGGGAAAACGTGAGACCCCAGGGTCAAGAAATTCACAATTTT